TTACTAAAAAAGACAGTAGATGACATGTACGTCAATGATTGATTAATTTCATGATATCTACTACTATATACCTTGTTGGGACCATATATGTCACTGATTTGTGAATTAAGTAACCTATAACGTTTTCAAGAGTTAATCAGTTTTGTAGGGAATTGATTTACTGCAAGTTTGATCACACAGTGATATCAGTTAGAGTATCACTGAAGACCAGTAGGGAGTATTGGATAGTTCAGTCCTTGATGGGGACATGGGTGCGTCTTACTGAAGAGTCACAGACTAGGACGAAACAACTGACTACTACACCCTAGCTCTTAGTGGTTCCTCTAACTGGTATTGCTGTGTGCTCAAACTTGAAAATTAAAAATATTTAATATCATTTTTCTGGATTTACTTATCATAAATTGTTTGCGTAAAACAGCAAGGTATAGATGTCTATAACACATAACACGCGTCGGTGGCACAGCGGCTAGGACGCTCGCCGACTATATACATGGTCAGGGGTTCGATCCCCGGCCGACGCACACCTGATATCAATGGTTGGCCCGCTAAATTTGGGCTACCAATATCCATGCTGAAAATTCCATAGTTGTATCGAAACTACGGTGTGGAGTCAAGCTATAGTAAAATTATATATATATATATATATATATATATATATATATATACATTCGTATGATTTGTCATAGATATAAAGGCTTTTTGAAAAAAACACATACATGCGAATTTTTCTTATTTACCTTTGATATTTTATTTGACCGGAGTTAGCCAGTATCAGTTTTCTAGCTTAACGTATGTAAACAGAGAGCGAAAGGTCAAGATAAGTTGCAGTTTCTCTTATTACCTCTTGAAGGAAACAAAAATTTTAACGACTGAAGATAAGAATAAAGTTTCAGGTAGAAAAAAGAACAACTAAACTAACAGTTAGTTGCTTGAGCAAAGTTTTTTTTTCCTTCACGTTCCCCAGTGGAACATAGGGCTTCAAGCTAGTGACTGTAAGTTTCTGTAGCAGTGTTTATTTTACAGAATGGGGTTGCTAGCCTCATGCCCAACCTTTCCTCTTTACCAGTATCATTTCTAGCTTAGGGAGGTGAAGGAGTGCGTCGGTCGGCCGGGGATAGAACCTCGGACCATGTGCATGGTCGGCGAACATCCTAATCGCTATGCCACCGAAGCATACCAACTTTGAGCAAAATTGGTATTTCCAAACTAGGCAAGACGTTACAGTAGACTTATTAGGTTAGATTATTGGGTACAATCAGAAGGAAGCGTCCAGCCAGCTAACCTAGATTTCATGCTTTTTGGCACTCATTTACTGGGCAGCAAGGCATATCTACAATCTCGGAGGGATGCATGTCCCTCCTGAGATTCAGATATTTGGATCACTCATCCAGTGCTGCAGTTAGAGGAGTTACCACCACTGAGTTAATCAGGCTTGTAAGACTTTAATGGATACTTTGATTGATTACTACTGCCCAGTGACCGATTCAGTTAGACTTCAGGATTTCATCATGAACCAACATCGGTTAGAGGACCATTGGAAAACCAATAGGGAGTACCGGATGACTGTTTCGTCCTAGTTTGGCACTCTTCATCAGTACGCACCCACTGAGGTTCTAACCCAGGACCTTCTGGTTACGAGGCGAACTCGTAGAGGACCATCCTCTAACCGATGTGAGGTTCATAAAATCCTAAAACCAACCAAATCTTAGCCAACCAACACCTGAATATCTATCTGAGGTTCACTAGTGACTGGCCCTATTCCGGTGGGTAGTTACCTGGGTTCTAGTGAGAAGCCATGACCAGTGGGGTACAGTAGGTCGGGTGTGAAAACAAATACTCGCCGGCGATGACATTCGCCAATGGTCGTACTATATTATGAATTGGCAGTAGTCCGAATTCATGGGTCATTGGATCGGGTTTCAGTAGCTTAATGGTTTACGAGATCGTTTGCCTTGTAACCAGGTAGGTGCGTACTGATGAAGAGTCCCAAACTAGGACGAAACAGATGTCTAGTAATCCCAGATTTTCCAATGGTCCTCTAATCGATGTCAGTTCATATTGAAATCCTGAGACCAATCAAATCTCTGCAAACCAACATTTGAATAACCAGTTAGATTTAATAAATATCAAAGTATACATAAAAGTGAGGCAGTTTATGGAATTATATAATCACAGACAAATCTTATTCTTACTCCTCTTTGATTCGATACATTGAACCAGTGAAGAGATAATAAGCAGAATGCAATTTGAGCGTGATAACGTGTCTTAGTGACATTATCCACGTTAGTTTAAACCATGTGGTAAGAAATATGAGAGTAAATGTACAGTGTTCAGTAACAAACGTAAATCAATCGATGCAGTTGAGAATCTCGAGCGACTCAAGTTGTATGGATATCTTACACATGCTGAGTCATAGTCTTTCTCAACGAGACATGTTGGCTGAGTTAGGAGTATGTATAGGAAGGGTGAGTAGTGTTTCGTCCATAAAATCATCGACTCTGTTGGTATGAACCATACAGGAAGATAATAGGTCTTTGGGGGCGTTAAAAATAGATAGCTGCAGATGAAACCATGGTGATTTGACTTAAAATTGTTCACAACTAGGCAGATGTATTCTCATTCCTGAAGTTATTGAAATTTTGAATCTTTGACCAGTTAAGTTTCAACGAGTTGTTCTCTTTCTCTCTCTCTCTCTCTCTAGTACACTCCCTCGCTATTCTCTTCTATTACAAGTATGTCTTATACAAGGGTGAGATAGAGTTTAGGAGAATAAACAGTTTCAAGAGGTAAGCATGAAACTCTTTGACTATACAATGAGTTGAAAATTCGTTTTTTGATTATGATGTTCACAATTATACAATGAGATTTAATATTTTCAGGCAGTATATTTTTACATTTTACTTAAATACTTGAACTCGTAAAAAATGTAATTCATTTTATTAAAGGTGAATCATTTTTTCTTCAACAAACGGTTTATATGTATATGGCTGGTGAAAGTTAAGCCGCAGAATAACATTACTTTAGTTGTAACTTTTTCGAGGTTTATTAACAGATATATATATTTAAAATTGCTTGGAGGTCGAAAGTAGCATTATTCATGTATTGTATTCATCACATCTATTATTCGGATAGCACCAGTCACTATCAACGGGAGAAATTTGAAGGAAGTTATGTCTTTCACTTATCCAGACAACATCGTTTCAACTGCAGGTGGCTCGGATAAAGATGTCGAAGGTAAGGTCGGAAAAGCAAGACAGACCTTCATTAATCTGAAATCAGTGTGGAAATCTGCCGTACTCAGTTGGCATAAAAAAACAAGATTCGGATTTTCAGCAATATTTGTCAAGTGAGTCAGTGCTCGCTCTTGTTATGGCTCAGACAGTTGGCGAATGCATCACTAATAGCATTTCCAACAAGCTAATAGAGATTTTTATCAACAGATTTCCCTTTCTCAATGTATGTGTAAAACTTGGGCACTGTGGTAGTAAGTCATTCCATATTAGTCTGTTTATTAGATATATCACACAGTGAAACAGTATTATTTATTGGATGACAGGGTTTTGAACACAATTTATTGCAGTTCATAATCATATCAATTGTAATCACACAATTTCGAAACTTCAGTTTTATAGTTTTCTTTGTTCCCTCCTATTTGTCATCATTGGGGTAGTAGAATTTTCCAGATATCTGTCTGGACAGGTGTTGAATCATTCCTATTACACGTGTTTGCAGTTGATTCGATAAACAAAGCTTCTGTTATCGATCTCTCCCCCCACCCTGTTACACTAGATTTTAAAACTGTCATCCTATACCATCCATCCTATTGTATGGTTGTGTGTAATTGCATGTGTTGCAGCGCTATAGCTGAACTATTCTCTTGATCTCTTATCTCATTCGGGTCAACTAATCTAGATTTTGCTAGGTTTTTATGTTTGGCTAGTCTGACTGCCCCTGTTCTACTACTTTGACCTATGTATTTGACCTGACAGTCATTGCAGGCAGGGTGTTAGATAAACTAAATTGTTTTGTTTTAAAGGCTCCACAGGATTGATCCTTTAACCGACAAAGCCTGTTTCTAATTGAGTTTATGGGTTTGAATGCCACTTTTATTCCTGTATTGTTAAGGTTTCCGAGGTTCCTTTTTTGTATGGAAGTACCACTGATGATTTAGATTCCCTATTGTTGGTGCTGTCATCATCCTATGTATGTTTGACAAGCATGTCATTATTATCACTATCACAATTATTATTATTTATTTTATTTTTACATTTCCCTACATACTTTCTGACTAATTTATCACGGTAACTGATAAGTTTCAAAGCTTCTGTGATATGCCTCACTTCCTGTCTTAGATTTTCCTAAGTACTACTTAGTTTTTGTGCTCTGTTACTTAAACATTTAACAAACCCCATTTTTGTATTGACATAAGATGGGATGATCGGAAGTCCAAATATCTGTTTGAATGTGTGGGTTTTCTGTAAACACACACTAGTGTTTAACTTCCTACCTTCTTTCCTTTTTACGCTACAATCTAACAACTTCATACTGAATATTTCATGGCCAGTTTTGAAAGGATTAACAACAGGGAACTTTAGGAACGAACCAACGAAAACATATACACTGCTCAACGAATATTTCAAAGAAAATGGAGAAATGGACCGAACACACACTGAGGACATCGTTGAGCAACGACATACGCCAGGCACACCCTCAAGTGGAACCCGGATGGGAAACAGTGAATTTGGCTTAAGTTCGAGGGTAACATGGAGGATATCATGTGTAGAAGAGGATATCAGCTTATGGGTAATCGTGGCGCTGGATAAAGAGGACTGAAGAGAACAAGACAAAATGAAAATGTTTTGTTGAAGCTCTATATTCATTCCACTCGGAACCTAAGGGAATAATAATTGGCCATCACTGGAAAAAAAGTTTATTATTTCTCTAATTATCACATAATAAGCATTAATACCAAAAACAAAACTGAGATTTCATTCACTTACTATAAAGGAGATTGTTCAGCGCTGATGGCATATTATAGCCAAGGATATTTGATGTTGGAATCCGACCAGAGTTATGTGACATTTGTGATGAAAATAATGATTCACCACCACCTTGTTCTGTAGGATTACGTCGCAATGAAGCATCTGATGAGTGAATTTGTGACTGATTGTAAGCATAATCTTCAGGAAACAAACGTTGATTCGACTGATATCTACTTTCTTCTTGCATTTCAAGGCATGCTGTATACTTTGCTCCTAAAGCGGATAGAGAACGCAAGTGATCAACTGCTTCGGCTGTAGATATTTGCGAACCTGATGAATCCTTGGGAGGTAAATGAGCTGGATGATGATTCATTAATGATCCAGATATGATATCATTGAAATTAGGATCATTCGATTCAGATCGGGTAAAATCTTTTGGTGAATGTTGTGACTGATGAATAGTAGAGTCAGAACGAGAACCGAAAGATTGAACTCTGGTGCTTAGGTCTTTTGGATAGTAACTTTGATTCATATCTCCATTCGGTTTATTTGAGTAGTCTCTTGTAGACTGTGAATTTCTCGTTTGAGGATTAAAATTATTATTAGTTATATGCGTCTGATCTGACTTCCTAAGTTCATCTCCGCGAGTAGATGAGAAACACATAGACTCACAAGACCATATTGGTGCAGTTCGATGATAATTATTTGTTAATGAATTATATCCTGCTTGTGAAGTATTTGAAATACTAGCAGATGTACTGCCTGGAACTGTGTTCTTAGTACCATCTGCCAAGGATATACCTATTTGACTATATGCATTAAATGATTTTAAAGATGACAGGGCATGATAGGATGCTGTGGACAAATGAGGAGTTTCAGGATTTGAAACACTACCTGGAATACTACTATTCTCTTCAACACTAGGTGGTGTATCTACACTACCACCTGATGCCAGTGTTGCCATTGACGGCAGTTGGATAGAATGTGAATTCGCTTCATTCCTGTTAAAAAATTGACGGTTATTCATCGAGTCACAAGGTTGTCTGCCGCCTCCTCCAAAGTCAGAGAGATTAAGAGGCTGCCCTTCCGCATGATGTTGATGTTTTCTTGCCACAGCACGTTCTCCAATCTTTTGTACAATAACTCCTAAATCTTCTAACATTTCACCGATTGTATCTTGATTCATAAAATCTTTTTCATTATGTGAACTATTTTTCCTATTGCTATTATTATGATTATTCTGTGTGTCGTTTTGCATATCATAATCCCTTCCTTTATGGTCTTCATGATCAGTCAGGGTTCTACTTTGATTATACATAAATTGATGTGTCATATTATTACTATTATAATTATTAGTAGTAATAATAGTAGGAGTACCGTCTTCACTTTCATTCAACTCATCATCATTGGAATTTCGGGATATTCTACTCATATCTAACCGATTCATTTCAGATGGACAATGAAATCTAGCTGATGAATAATTACAGCTGTTTAGAAACATGCTTGTATGTGTTGTACGTAAGTCATTCGGATGATTCAAAGCATGCATTACACCTGGACGAGTATGATACTGTTCGGCAGAGTTAATGTCATTAGGAAAATTAGAAGAAGGCATATCATCGGATATTTGTTCAATACAATATTCTCCTTGTGTACAACTATCAGTTCGACCTCTTTTCACCACACCATTACTGCACATGTTTAATCCTTCTGAATTATGATAAACAGACTGGCTATAAGGATTATTCTTCGACATTAATCCATCAGACGGTGGTTTTACATTCGATAAAGGATGTTTACCAGATTTACCACGACCTCTACCTCTTCCAAATCCAGTACTTCTATTATAATAACCATAATGATTGATATACTTTTCTTTTTGTGAAGCATTAACTAACTGTGATGCCATAGATTCAGCTGCACCAGATTCCAAGGAGAATATACGCTGGAGGTAGGGTTGTAATTGTTGTTGCAATTTTGGACGCCTACCACGTCTTCTGGGAGGATTTGGAGCGGTTAAAGAAGACTCGGATAACATTTGCTGTTCCAATAGATCAATCATATATAATTCTTCTCGATTAAAAGGGCGAGTTGTATAAAAAGCTGCTCGTATAACATGAAGTGGTTGGTCTAATAGGGCATCATTAACTTCATCGACTATTTCGTTAATCTGTGTACTCAACTTGTCTCCAATCACAAATGTTGGCAGTACAGATAAAACATGTGATTTCACCTTTTCAAATTCTTCATTAGATCCAGATAGTTCAGCACGTTGAAGTTCAGAAAGAATATTAGGTAGAAGTGATGTCAGACTTGATTCAGATGTTCCAGATTCTGCATTGACAGAATTAACTGAAGATGATGGTGGTAAAGTAGCTGCTAGACAAGATGACTGACTATTCTGACGATATGGAGAAGCCTGGATAATAGAGTTGAGGTTTGTGTTATTTGTAAAATTTTGCTCTGCACCTGAACGATTCATTTCCAAAGTCCCGTTACCAAATAAGTCTGGTAGATCTGATTCTTTATCCAGACTATCTAAAATTCCATTAATCTCCGCATCAAGAGGTCCAGGAATGTCAGGAGTACACGAGTCTAAGATATCAGCCATTCTATGACGTACAGTTGAAACAGGCGTAGATGTTCGTGCTACAAAAGCCCTAGTATCACCCTCACCACAGGATCCTCTGTAACCATGTGTCTCTGACAGATGTTGTGACGAATGCGTGGTGGTTGAAGGTATTCGATGAATAAGATCTTTGAAATTATAAGCAAAATTTGCGTCTTTTGCATGATTTACTTGATAATGTTCATTTAAACTTGGTTTATCATAACAATTATACAGGCATAGAGAACAATTAAAAGGCTTTTCACCAGTATGTTTACTATGATGAAGATTCAGCGTCTCTTCAGTACAAAATCGTCGCTGACAATTAGGCCATTGACACTGGTATTTCTTTTCAGAATCTAAAATGTATTAAAACAACACATAGAGCACATTGAAAAAAAATTTGTCTTCTTTAAAATGAAGGGTATTTATTACACGCTAATAAATAATCACAGTTTATGGAAAAAAAACCTTTCAGAGGGTTATAAAACACAGGTAATTTTATATAAATACATTTTCCTGAGACATATTGACAAAGTAAGTAATGAATATAAGAGCAACAGACTTCAGAGAAGAGTCTCTTTTCGGCGAATTCATTCACTTAGCTGTACAATCGCACATGTATATATAATTATTTTGTGTGTGTACGTATGTGGACATTACGATTGTCAAACAAAAATCAAATCAAATTAGTTAGGGTTACACTGTTTACGTCATCATCCAATAAGCATATTCATTATGCAAAAGTCAGCAATAGTATAAAGCTGTGTGCGCATCAAAGACAATGGATGGATGGATAACTCAGTCAAACGAATTAGGCATCCGAAACAATGGGGCAACAGGTGTACAAAACTATTGAAAATTAACTAACCAAGTAGATAAAATTAGTAGCTTTAGTAAAGGATAAATCTCAGCTTCAGAGTACCTACAATCGTTATCTTATCACTGGTTGGATAAGTATTTTGCTAGGTGAGACATGTAAACGGAATAAAATTAGTTTCAGGATTTCATCATGAGCTGACATTGGTTAGAGAACCATTGGAAAACCAACTAGGAGTACCGGACAGCTGCTTCGCCCTAGTTTTGGACTCTTCATCAGTACGCACACGCACCGGGATATTTAATTAAATTTTTGATGCCTTGTATTAGTTGCAGCACATTTCTAAACAATTATAACCTCAAGGATAGACATCTTCGTCATTAAACATGAAATTACTACTGATACAGGCAACTGATGATGTGGATTTGCAGAGAAATACCTTCCTTCTCTTTTGATCTTAGTTATAACCTAACACATGTCATGTGTGCTGTAAATTTCAGTATTCAAAGTATAACAATGAACAAAAACTCTAGTAATCTCAACTCCAAGGTAAAATCAACATATATCTAGGAGTGGCTATTGGCTCGCTAAAATACCAACCAGGACCAGTGACACAAAATCAAAAAAGAAACTAGTTACTTTGATTTTTTTTCTTGTACTTTGAAGTTTCTATAGTGAGTGGGTTGATTTTCCAGGGTAGGGTCGCTAGCCTCACGCCAAACCTTCCCTCCTTTCATGGGCTTATGTTATAACGGTAGGGAATTAAATGAGGACGTTGTCGCCTTGTTCTGTCTGCGCCTAACTAATATGCTTATCTGCTTGTGGTACCTTCCGATTCAGTGAAGCACGCAAATATCAAAAGACAAAGGCTGGACTGTGACTGTGTATTGTAGTACAACAGCTACGACAAAGAAAGTCATGGTATTTATACATTTTTACGACAATATAGACAGCTAACAGCAATTGAAATAATTGGTCGTAGTAATCAATAACAAAGTACGTGAGAAATGATGATATACCACTTATGCGAGATTACCAGCCGTTGAAATAATTTAGAACACATTTAAGCGAACGATATTTTTTTCAATTAGATCTCATCAGGCTTAACTCTAATATATATAAGTTTACAAATAAAAATTCAAATATAAACCAATCATGGTGTTTTGTCTATCGGATAATACGATGGTGAATATAAATTGTACAATTAGTCATAATAGTGGTAATGATAATATTAATAGTAGTAGTAATAATAATAATAATAATGGTCTTATCAATAATAAGGATGAAAAAATGAGGCAATCTGTGATAACACGAATAATGAAAAACAGTATGATTAAACAAACAACAGGTGTAAGTAGTCGATAAAGGCTAGTAAAAACAAATGAACCGATTACGTAATTTATATTCACCATCGTATTATCCGATAGACAAAACACCATGATTGGTTTATATTTGAATTTTTATTTGTAAACTTATATATATATTAGAGTTAAGCCTGATGAGATCTAATTGAAAACAATATTGTTCGCTTAAATGTGTTGTTCTAAATTTTACTATGGGAATATTTAATATGTTGAAATAATTGATCAATAACAAAATGCGTGGGATCCTATCACCTTTCCCCGTAAAAAGTGTAGGACTTGCTTTTTGGATCTATTTGAAAAGGTTTCGGAGCTCTTCTTTGTCGAGTTGACCTTCGCGTGGTACTGGATAGAGTGTGATCTGTGTCCCGGGCTTCCGGCTGCGGAAGATTAAATGTATCTACTAATACTTCTAACGTGAGGTCTCGTCTCCCATTGTCGGGTCTATCTGACGCATCTCGTATATGATTCGTGTGTCTGACACATAACTGTCCTTCTACATTCACTTTGTATAAAACCCTTCCTTTCTGCCCCACTATTTGTCCTCGAATCCATCTCGGAGGTGAATAGCGAAAATCTCGTACATAAACTTGCTGATACAATTTGAAAACTCGACGTTTAGCTCCGTGATGGCGATTGAATTGGTTTTCCATTTTTGTATTTCTGCAGCCCTGCTTTACTTGCCTAGGCTTAATTGAGTCGAGGGCAGTTCTGATCTTCCGGCCAAACATAATTTCCGCTGGGGATAACTGATTTGGGGTGGAAGGATTTGGCGTCGTACGATAATGCAGCAAGAATCTATCCAAAATTTCTTCTGTTGTTCCCTCCCCCTTCGCTTTTGCATATGCACGCCTGTCCATTCGATTGGGGATGATACGGGGGGCTACGAATATGCTGGATGCCAAACAGTTTGCAGCAACCAAGTTTGTCCTGGAAGACAGAAGCGTGCTTTTGACGCAGGCGTTGCAAGAGAGATTGATCAGATACATCTCCGGGAACAACGTTGTGTGGTGAGGACGAAACATTAGAGCATACTGAATTTAATGGTACATTGAAGATATGGAGCTTGTCTAACCAGTCAAGACCAAGCAAATTCAAATCATGGTAGTTTGTGACGTAACATACACCATTGAACTGATGCTCACCAAACTGAACCTGGCAATTTATCTCACCCACGAGTTTCAGTATATCTCCAGAGACATTCTTGGCGACATGCTCGGTCGGCAGAATCTGTGGGCACCAAGTTTGCGCCACGTAGTTCGGGAAATTAAGGTGATATCTGATGCCGTATCCAACTGAAGACGAATATGTTTGCCGTTAATACCTAGTGTAATGTACTTACGTTTGCTGGCGAAATCGACTTTGGAAGTTGTGAAAATGGTCTGTACTCGAGGAGATTGTTTCGGCTTGAAACGACTACTTCTGTTCCTCACCGAAGATTTTTCTGCGGTGGACAGTAACCCTCCTTATGTCCAAAACGGTGACAATTACGGCATTTATGTTTCTTGAAAGGACAGAACTTGACAAAATGCCACGAACCACAGTGCCAGCACACTGAAGGAGGTTTAGCTGAATTCTGAGACTGACGTGCTTAACGGTGATCGGAGGACTTTTCACTGTGTTAATTGAACCAAATTCAGACGACTGTCGTTTGCACTCCACCATAGCAGTATCGTGCTTCAAGTTGATTAAGCGTAGGCATTCTGCTGTCACCATTTGTAAAGTCATTTTCGGGTCTTGTTCCACGAGTGACAGAAGTCGAGTTCTTATGTCAGTATCTTCTGGGTTCTTCAACCCACAAATAAAAATCAAACACTTGAACTGATCTGATGTCATTTCGTGTGGTTTGAACCTTTCACATTCCTTGTTCACTTTGCCAGCGTAAGTGACATAATCATCGGAAGGCATTTTTGTCAACTGAAAACATTGATACCGAATATTAAACATGGATGACTGTTCACCAAAGATTTGTGATAAAACGGTGACTGTCTCATCGAATGATAACTCACGTGGGTTCTTGGGCAGAATGAAGTTAACATATCTGTTGTGCTCAACAGTACCAAGTTTTCTTAGTAACAATCGGACTTTGGCAGCATCATCAAACATGTAGCATTCAATACGGAAAACGTCTTCGTAACGATTGAACCATGCATCAAATACGAGACCAGATATTGGGTCGTAGTTGAACTCACTGATGGAATTTGAGATGCTTTCATATTTGTCTGAATGAGATGTTGATGGAACTTGAATGGACAGCTTCTGAGTGAGAGCTTCGATTAATTTTAGTTGAGCTGCTTCATTCTGAACTTGCTGCTGCTGCAAGATAGATTTGAGATCGTCCAGAGAGATAGACATTGTAATTGGGTTGTAATTAACACAGTCAAAAATGTTCTATAGCTGCGCTGAACAGAATAAAACCCGTCGTCGCTTGCTTGTTATAGCTGCAATGAATTAAGGTAAAACCCCGTCGCCAATTTGTTATAACTGTAGGGAATTAAATGAGGACGTTGTCGCCTTGTTCTGTCTGCGCCTAACTAATATGCCTATCTGCTTGTGGTACCTTCCGATTCAGTGAAGCACGCAAATATCAAAAGACAAAGGCTGGACTGTGACTGTGTATTGAAGTGCAACAACGACAAAGAAAGCCATGGTATTTATACATTTTACAACAATATGGACAGCTAACAGCATTTGAAATAATTGATCGTAGTAATCAATAACAAAGTGCGTGAGAAATGATAATATACCATGTATGCGAGATTAACAGTCAATAACAAAGTGTGTGGGAATGATGATATACCATTTATGTGAGATTGACAGTCAATAACAAAGTGCGTGGGATCCTATCAGCTTAGGACTGGCTAGAAAAATAGTGAACTAGGCCAGAAAGAATAGGCAGTAAGAAACTATGGAAGCGAAACAAACAGGAACCTGTTGCTCAACAAATATGGCACAATAAAATGAAGACGGATCGGACACATCACGCGTCAAGCAAATCCTCGAGTGGAAACCAATTGGGAAACGACAACCTAGGCATCTGAAGGTGACATGAAGAAGATGAAGGCTTATGAGCAACTGTGGGGCCAACTGAAGAAAAGTGAGGAGAATAGGACAACATGGAAATGTTCTGGAGAAGGTCTATGTTTTACTCGGACCCCCAGGGAATAATAATAATAAT